AAATCAACAGGCCAAAAATAGGAAGGACCTGCCAGAAATGGTTCTATGTCAAAAGTTCAAACAGGCTAGCTAGGTTGATCCAGAGTTAGATTTAGTATAGATCTGATTAACTAGTAGTGGAACGCCATATATATCTACTTACTCATACTACCTCAAAAATTGAAAGAGAAATAAACATGTAAATAGCTGGAGTAAGGAAGAAATTAGCTAAATAAACATCCACTTACTCATACCACCTCACAAATTTCAAGACATTAAGAGCCCGTTTGATAATGTTTTCAGAGAATCACTAGTAAAAAAAACCCCTTGCGCGACGAAAAACTATTCGTCGCTCAAAGTCACTTTGCGCGACGAAACTCAAAACTTCATCGCCTAAAGTCTTGCGCGACGAAAAATAATTCGTCGCGCAAAGAAGTCACTTTGCGAGATGAAACTCAAAACTTTGTCGATCAAAGTCTTACGCGACCAAATTTTGGGCGACGAAAAACAATTCGTCATGCAAAGTCACTTTGCGAGACAAACTTTTGCGCGACGACAATAAATCGTAGCACAAAGTGACTTTGCGCGACGAACAAATAAACTTCGTCGCGCAAAGCCCTTACAAAAATAAATAAAATAAAATAAAACCTTTGCATGATGTAATCCAAACATTTCGTCACCTAAACCAATTTTTTTATTTTTTTATTTTTTATGCATAACACTTAAGAAATTAAATGGTATATATATTTATTAAGTAGCTTTAAATTTATTATTTTAGATCGGATCAGATTTTTGTTAGAAAAATATATTATTGTAGTTCGGATTGGGTTTTTGTTAGAAAATATATATTTTAAATTGACGATCGAATTAGTTCATTGTATTCATATAGGGTGAAGGAGTGTAGTTGTTAAAAATCATCAAAATCAGAGTTAAAATGACCGTTAAATCGTGATTTTTCATTTATAACCGTCGAATTTCGTCGAAAAGTTTTGTCCCATTACTTCATCTCTGAATGTTTATTTTTTCCAATTTTTGGTGTATATGATCTCGAAGTATAAACAAACAAGTTTGACGGTTGGATCGTTGAAACTAGTTTTGTAGAATGCGTAGGCCATCAAAACAATATATTCACTAACAATTAAGAGTTTATTTATACTTTCGTTAAATATAACATAAGATTTTGTAGTTATGCACTAGTGTAAATATTTTAAATTGAAGATCAAATTCAGTAATTGTATTTATATAGGGTCAAGGAGTGTAGCTGTGAAAAATCATCAAAATCGGAGTTAAAGTAACTGTTAAATCATGATTTTTCATTTATAACCATCGAAAAGTTTTGTCCTGTTACTTGATCTCTGAATGTTTATTCTTTCCGATTTTTGGCGTATATGATCTCAAAATATAAACAAACAAGTTTGATGGTTCAATCGTTGAAACTAATTTCATAGAATGCGTATGCCATCAAAACAATATATTCACTAACAATTAAGAGTTTATTTATACTTTCGTTAAATATAACATAAGATTTTGTAGTTATGCACTAGTGTAAATATTTTAAATTGAAGATCAAATTCAGTAATTGTATTTATATAGGGTCAAGGAGTGTAGCTGTGAAAAATCATCAAAATCGGAGTTAAAGTAACTGTTAAATCATGATTTTTCATTTATAACCATCGAAAAGTTTTGTCCTGTTACTTGATCTCTGAATGTTTATTCTTTCCGATTTTTGGCGTATATGATCTCAAAATATAAACAAACAAGTTTGATGGTTCAATCGTTGAAACTAATTTCATAGAATGCGTATGCCATCAAAACAATATATTCACTAACAATTAAGAGTTTATTTATACTTTTATTAAATATAACATAAGATATTGTGGTATCCACTAGTGTAAATATTTTAAATTGAAGATCAAATTAAGTCATTGTATTCATATAGGGTCAATGAGTGTAGTTATAAAAAATCATCAAAATCGGAGTTAGAATAACCGTTAAATCGTGATTTTTCATTTATAACCGTCAAAAAGTTTTATCTTGTTACCTAATCTCTGAATGTTTTAAATTTTTTTATTTTTGGCATATACGATCTCGAAGTATAAACAAACAAGTTTGATGGTTGGATAGTTGAAACTAGTTTCATAGAATGCGTATGCCATCAAAACAATATATTCACTAATAATTAAGAGTTTATTTATAATTTCGTTAAATATAACATAAGATTTTGTGGTATCCACTAGTGTAAATATTTTAAATTGAAGATCAAATTCAGTCATTGTATTCATATAGGGTCAAGGAGTGTAGCTGTAAAAAATCATCAAAATCGGAGTTATAATAACCGTTAAATCGTGATTTTTCATTTATAACAATTAAAAAGTTTTGTCCCGTTAGTAGATCTCTGAATGTTTGGTTTTGCGATTTTGGGGGTATACAATCTTGAAGTATATACAAACAAGTCTGACGGTTGGATCGTTGAATGGTGTGTGTGTGTATATATATATATATTTATTTATTAAGTAGCTTTAAATTTATTTATTTTGTATGTATAACACTTAAGAAATTGAATAGTATATATATTTATTAAGTAGCTTTAACCTTATTTATATTTTACATCGTAAAATAAAATTATTTTATTTTTTATTATTCATAACAATTATTTTTATAAATATTGTGCTACGAACCAATTTTTCATCTCTTAAAAGTTTGCGCGACCAACAGTTCGTCGCGCAAAACTCTGAAAATTTGGGTGGGTACCAAAAATGGGACGAGAGATTTAAAAAAAAAAAATATTTAGACTTTGCGCGACCAATATTTTTTGTCACGCAAAAATTTGGGCGGGTACCAAAAATGGGACGCGGGAATTTTTTTATATAATTTTTTTAGACTTTGCGCGACGAATATGTATTTGTCGTTGCTAAAAAATTTAAAAATTTGGGCGGGTGCCAAAAATGGGACGTGGGAATTTTTCAATTATTTTTTATAATTTTTTTAAGACTTTGCACTATCAATATTCCAGTATTCGTCGCGCAAAACTTTGCGCAACCAATATTTTTCGTTGCGCAAAACTTTGCGCGACCAATATTCTAATATTTTTTGTCACACAAAACTTTGTGCGACCAACAATATTGAAGTGATACGGTTTTTAAAACCAAAATAACTCCTCCACCATTTTCTAAATGTCTTTCTCTACTCTTACCTCTTCTCTCGCTTTCCCTCTCCCCAAATCCCACCCTTTCTCTCACACTCACTCCTCTCCCTCTCACTCACTCTCTCATCTCTCTCTCACTATCTTATCTAATTCTTTCACACTCACTTCTCCCTCTCATTCTCACTCACTCTCAATCTTGCCAAAAGGTATATTCTCTTCAAATTTTAATTTTTTTTTCATTAATATGTGTTTTTGGAGTTAGTTTTGAGTATGTGTGGGGTTTGGGGTTGAGTATAGGGTAAGGATTGGAGTTTGGGTTGGATTTGTTGTATAACAATTTTAGGGGAGATGATGCCAATGTTTTTTCTTTTTTGGGGTTATTTGGCCATATTTGTTTTTTTGTAGGGAATCATCAAGAGTTTGACGGCTAAAGTTGAGGATTAGGAAGCTATCAAAAACATATCCTCTGCCACGACCACCACAATAGGCTTGTATTAGGATTTTATTATTGTACTTTGTTAATTTATGTGTACATTTTGAATATTATATATATATATTTATTGGATAATTTGATCACTATTTTTCATATGTAATTTTATTTTGAATATGTCAACTTAAATTAAAGTAAGTAAAAAAAATCATACAATTAAATTAAATTTTAAAAGTAAAAATACTGGGATGACAGGGACCGTATCTTGGACCGTTAGCCAGACCCTATTCCTGTCCCCGTTAATCCCCAAGACCTAAAGGTGACACACCTAGGCCCCCTACCAAAACCCACCCACCTACCAGCTAGAGAAGGTGCAGGTCACTCGGAGAACTGGGGGTAGTACTATTCAGAAGACTACGAGTTTTATCACACCGAGGCGTTCGAAGAGTGGGAACCTTCCCTATCCCCTGCTCACCCACATCTCAGGCCTTCAGCACTCGAGCCCCTCCCTCATGCTGACCCGGTCATGAGGCTTCTCTTCGAGAAGGTTTGGCTCCTGGATGAGCGAACAACAGCACAACCACCAACCCCTCTGGGCAAAACCACGACCTGGACCCTTTACCGAACACATCCTTAATTACCACCAGGAGAAAGACACCCAGCCACTCTGCATCGCCTTCTACACTGGCACAGAGGATCCTCTCACCCACATACATTCTTTCTACTCTACCCTGGGGTGCAAGGGCCTCACTGACGAGGGCATGTGCCTCCTCTTCCCTTCCACTCTCAGTGGCGCGGCCCTGAATTGGTTCTACAAGCTGAACCCCCGTACCATCAACTCATTTGACAGTCTGAAGCAGGCCTTCCTGGACTATTTTATGATCCAGACCGATCGCTTATACTCCGCGGACGACCTATACATGCTTCGACAGGGTGAAGAAGAGCTCCTCCGAGAGTATGCAGCCCTATTCAGCCACGAATACTCCCGTTGCCCAGAGACTGATGACCGCGCTGCCTTCGGTGCTTTCAAGAGTGGCCTCCGAGAGTCCAACTTCCTGTACCTGGTGCACAACAACACTTGGAACACATATGCTCAGCTAATAAAGCAGGCAGCAGTTCATGCCAAGACTGAGTACTTCAACTCTAAGCATAGCCCAGCCACCCCGGCGCGTAATCCTTTTGCTGATCCTCCACCTGCTTCAGTACCCATCCTAGCCCCACCTCAACCTTCTGCCCCCACACCAAGCACCCAGGATGCCCAGCAGCCTAAAAGGAAGGATAGCTACTAGCATACCTTCAGCAATAACAAGCGGGCAAACATGGCAACCACCACCAGTCCAGTGGAAGCAACCCCCCAAGACAAATGACCGGGCCCCACTCCCTTTCTCACCCAAACCCAGGTTTGAGGTCTTCACCACCTTGAACACTACTTACGAGAATGTTCTGATGCATGAGGCACCTATCATACCCCAGCCTCCCCCTCAGAGACCAGGCAACAAGCATATGCCTAACACAGGTGTCTTCTGTCGCTTTCATCAGTTCGGTGGCCACGATACCGAATCTTGTGTTGCCTTGCGCAACATCATTGAAGGACTTATTCGTGAGGGGAAGCTGAAAAAATACGTGCACAACCTCCCACCCCCACCTAACCCTCACCAACAGCAGATCAACATGATCTCAACCATCAGTGGTGGCCCTACCATGGCTGGAACCTCCAGCAACTCCATTAAACATTATGTCCGCTCCACCTATGCGCACCAGGTCTTCAGCACTGAGCAGGGACGCCTGCCGAATACACAAAAATTAGGCTGGGCCCCCATTACATTCTGCGATGAGGAGTGTGGCGTTATCCTCCCTAATGATGACCCAATCATTATCCACGCCGACATTTCTAACTTCGACGTTGGGCGCATCTTGGTAGACACTGGCAGCTCGGTCAGTGTGATGTTTGCTGATGCTTTCAACGAGGTCAAGGTCCCGTCTCATTTGCTCGACTGAAGCGTCATACCCCTGGTGAGCTTTTCGGGTGATGTTGTCCAGCCCATTGGCAGCATTCATCTCCCTATCTCTATTGGAATAGCACCCCAGCGAGCGACGGTCACCACTCCCTTCCTCATTATTGACTGCCCCACAGCCTACAACGTCATCCTTGGGCGCCCTGCCATGGCCCAAATAAAGGTTTTCATTTCCACGCATATGTTACTGCTGACCAACTTGGCACGGTGCGCGGCAACCAACTTGGCGCACGAAGCTACTATACTTCAGCAGTCAAATCCACCAATCCCCGATATCGGGGTGAGGCCCTTGCAGTACCCCAGGCCCCAGCCCCTCCTCGAGCTGGCACCGAACGACCTGAAGACCCCAAGGAGGACTCTACCACCCAACAGGCAGAACCTATGGAAGATCTTGAGCTGGTCACTCTCCATGATGACCTCTCGGATCGGCAGGTTCGGATTGGCACCTCCCTCCCACCAGAGCTTCGCTTTGACCTCGTCGCCTTCCTCCGCCTCAACTCTGAAGTCTTTGCTTGGTCTTACAACGATATGCCTGACATATCACCTGACGTCATCTTCCATGGGCTAAGCATTAATCCTGCCGTCCGACCCGTTCGGCAGAAGCGTCGTGCTTATAACCCAGAGCGATATGAGGCCATGAAGGTGGAGGTGGATAAGCTAAGCACCATTGGATTCGTCAAGGAGGTGGACTATCCAACCTGGCTAGCCAATGTGGTAATGGTACGTAAACCAAGGAAAGGGTGGCGCATGTGCGTGGACTACAAAAATCTCAACCAGGCCTGCCTAAAAGATAGCTTCCCCGTACCCAGCATTGACCAGCTCGTTGACGCCACAGCTGGCCACGCCCTCCTCAGCTTCATGGATGCTTACTCAGGGTAGAATCAGATCTTCATGCACCCTTAGGACCAAGCCCATACATCCTTCATCACTGACCGTGGCCTTTACTGCTACAAAGTCATGCCTTTCGGCCTTAAGAATGCCGGGGCTACGTATCAGCGTCTGGTGAACAGCATCTTCGCTCCACTAATTGGCAACACCATGGAGGTTTATGTTGATGACATGCTGGTCAAAAGTCACACTGCTGACCAGCACATCCCCAACTTCTCTGCCATGTTCATCATTTTGAAGCAGTATAGGATGAGGCTCAACCCCGCCAAGTGTGCATTTGGGGTGGCTTCCGACAAATTCCTTGGATTCATGATCAGCCAAGGAGGTATTGAGGCTTACCCAGACTGGGCCATCTTAGACATGACGATACCCAAGACGGTCAAGGACATTTAGAGCCTTACCGGGTGTGTCGCAGCCCTGACCAGATTCATCTCCAAAGCTACTGATCCCTGCGCCCCATTCTTCAAGGCACTCAAGGGTAGCAAATGCAGCATTACCTGGACTGCCGAGTGTGACCAAGCCTTCAGCGAGCTCAAGGAATACATGAGCTGAGCCCTTTTATTGTCCACCCCTGTGCCTGGGGACGTCTTCACCATCTATCTCTCCTTCTCGGCCATAGCGGTTATCTCAGTACTCATTCGACCACACGAAGGTGCTGAGCATCCGGTGCATTATGTGAGATGTCGAGGTTCGGTACCCAGACATTGAGAAACTTGCTTTCGCCCTGGTAGTCTCGGCTACACGCCTCAGACCATGCTTCCAAGCTCACACCATCCATGTCTTAACCAACCAGCTGCTCAGGCAAGTGTTGCAGAAGTCAGAGACTTCTGGGAGGTTGATTAAGTGGGCCATCGAGCTGGGTGAGTTTGATATCCACTACAAACCCCGCCCAGCTACAAAGGGCTAGGCCGTTGTTGACTTCATATCAGAATTCACAAATCCCCAAGCTTCGACCTCTACCCAAGTCATAATAGAAGCCAGTGTTCCTTCGAGCCAACTCCACATCGCCAACAATGGCAACCTCGACCTGACCCAGCCCTTGTGGACCTTATACGTGGATGGCTTCTCCAATGCCCAAGGATGTGTAGCCGGCCTCGTTCTCATCTCCTCAAAAAGGTTGTCCTTGAGTACGCCCTTCGCTTCAAATTCCACGCCTCCAACAATGAGGCTGAATACAAAGCATTCCTAGCTGGCCTTCGACTAGCCAAGGAGATGGGCGCCAAGCAAATTCAGATATTCAGCGACTCACAGCTCGTTGTCCATCAAGTCAACTAGGACTTCACAGCCAAGGACATCTCTATGACAGCCTACCTCCAGCATACCCGCCACTTGCTTGCAACATTCGACGCTCATCTTATAAGCCAGGTACCACACTCTAAGAACAGCCATGCTGATGCTTTGGCCAGGCTAGCCTCGGCCTTGGAGCAGAGCATAGGTCGCAACATCCACATTGAGTTCTTGGATCAGCCCAGCACACAGGCACTGCTCATCTGTACCATTGATCATAGCCCTACATGGTCATCATTCAGTTCTTGCAAAACCAAACACTACCTATCGATCCCGCTGAAGCACGGCGTGTTCGCTATTGCTTCTCTCGATACCTAATCATCAATGACGCCCTATACAAGCGTGGCTTCAGCCTCCCCTACTTTCGGTGCCTGACTCCAGAGGAAGGTACCTATGTCCTAAAGGAGATTCATAAGGGCATCTGCGGCAACCACTCAGGCGCTCACTCCTCAGCACACAAGGCCATTCGGCAAGGATACTTTTAGCCATCACTTTACACTGATGCCCAGGCCTTCACCCAAAAGTGAGATAAGTGTCAGCGATTTGCCAACATCCCACAACTTCCAGCTGAACCATTGACAGCCATGGTCAGCCCTTGACCATTTACCCAATGGGGACTTGACCTCATTGGACCTATGCCTGAGGGAAATGGCCAAGTCAAGTATGTCGTTGTGGAGGTAGACTATTTCACCAAGTGGGCTGAAGCTGAAGCCTTAACCACCATCACTGTAGCCCGCATCGAAACTTTTGTTTGGCAAAATATCGTCACAGATAATGGCCGGCAATTTCACAATGCCAAGTTCAAACAATTTTGTTCTAACCTCAAGATACGTCTTTGCTTCGCCTCCCCAACCCATCCTCAGTCCAATGGCCAGGTTGAAATCGTGAACAAGATCATCAAGAAAACTCTAAAGACCAAGCCTGACAAAGCTAAAGGTTGCTGGCCAGAGCTACTCCCAGAAGTTCTCTGGTCATATCGCACCACCTTCCATACCTCAATAGGAGAAACACCGTTCTCTCTTTCTTTTGGTACTGAAGCCATGGCACCAGTGAAGATTGGCTAGCCCACATACCGAACCTCTACTTATGAGGCCGAAGCCAAAGACGAGCAGTTAGCACTAAACATCGACTTCATTGACGAGCTTCGTGACCAATCCAACTTGCCTAACGTCGCGTACAAACAACTCATCGCCAAGTACTATGACTCCTGGGTTAAACCCCATGCTTTCAAGATTGGGGACTGGGTCATTCACAAGGTTTCCTTGGCCACCAGAACCCAATTGAAGGTACCTTGGGCCTAACACGGGAAGGCCCATATGAGATTACCAAAGTTTACCGCCTCGGCGCTTATCAGCTTCGTGATCCCAAGGGCAAGACCTTACCTCATCCTTGGAACGCTGATCACCTCAAGTACTACTATAAGTAAACATACCTAGACCCTAGGGCATTATGTTTTCTTAGACTTTGGTCTTGAGCCTCGCCTCAACCATCTCTTGTATCTTTTGCCTTTCGGCACTTATCTAGTGAAACGCCTGACCCTGGCTATTTCTCATCATTCACAATGATTATTATTTTGCTAGCACAATTGATATCAAATGACAACAAGTCTAATATCATAGCAAATCAAAGTAACCTTGCCCCAGGCAAGGCAAAATGTTCTTACAATGCAGAAATAAACATCCAGGTGTTTCAAATAAATAGCTAGAATACATAAAGGAAGGCTAAGCCTTCAAGATTCGGTAGAGGGGGCATCCGTGGTCGCTGGCTCTGGCTCTAGCTCTGGCTCTAGAGCAGCATTGTTGCTAGGACTAGATGAAGGAGGCTCGCCACTTGTATCAAAGTAAATCTCCATCGAAGGGTTGAACCTGGCCAACCTCTGCTCCCAACGCAGCTGCATAGCCACCATCTGATCCATGATGTAGCTCCTCAGCTCCTCTGAACCCCGAAATGACTTGATCACTTCGGCTCGGGTAACACCTATCTCTTCGGCCTTTTTCTGCTCCACTTTAGCCTGGGCAGCAGCCACCTCCTCCGCCTTCGACTGCTTCAGCTCCTCCACCTCTCTGGCTAGCGCCGCCTTCTGCAACAGCAGGGCGTTCTTCTCTCAAATGGCATCCTACGCCTCTGCTATCTTGTCCTTAGCAATCTCGTTGTGCCTCTTCAACTTCTGGATCTCCTTATCTGCCTTGGCCATGTTCACGTACATCTCGTCATAGGCCTACAACACAAGGCATCATCAGTAAAAGACAAACTAGAATGATAAGAACAAATTTATAAAGCAAGACAACTTATATATGCATGGGTAAGAAACGTCTTCTGGGCTCGATTTGCATAGGAAGTGGCTGGCGTCCTCGCCAGAACCTCTGGGTCACACTTCACACCTTCCAAGAAGACGTTCACCAGGGAACCTCCTGCCGATGCATGGCCAAGTTTACCTCATTCTTCTGCCGACGCAGCCTGGTGAAGTCCATCTTCTCCACCCCCTCGGCATAAACGTCCTCTATACCAAAGGGGAGCTTTGGCGGCGCCTGCAGGTTAAAGGGAGGAAGCCTCAGCCCTGTTCCCATCATACTCCGGTGAGCCTCCTCCAGCGCTTTCTTCTTTCCCAGCACATCGGCAACCAGGCCTTTATCATCATCTCTTGGACGCTTCCCAGTCGCTTGCTTGGCCACCCCCTTCCCAGCCATCTGCGCCCGAGACTCTTTAAGCTGTTTCTGAATCTCGACGTCATCCAGGTCCACAGCCACTTTCGTGCTTCCCTTTATGATACCTGCCATTGCACATCAAACGCTAAGTTAGTCACAACTACAAAAAGGAAACCGGACGGCAAACAACAAAGGTGACCCAAGTACTTACTCCCTTGCAAAAAGGCAGACTCAAACAAATTCTTTTGGGTGACTAGGTTTTTGCACTCGCGCTCGGTCTCCGACAATAGTGACCTCACCTTCTCCACTTCCTCTTCTTGCTCCTTGGAGATCGGCCCCTACTTCACTAAACCTACATCAAAGGTTGGATACAACTTAGCCATTTACACTTACACAAGCAAAAATAGAGACCCAAGAGTCCAAACCAGTACAAACACTACAAAACAATAATCAATCTTAAAGGATAGGGCTAAGGATCTATAGACTGGAAGTGGGTTGGAACGTGTCTGGAGACGGTCTTCCCTGGCAGACACTCCCAATTACCATAGGCCAGGCACCACCTGTTTCTCTAAGACTTCTGAGTAGAAGGCTTGTGACCAATGAAGTAACCCATCTCCTTTGCCTTTCGACAATTGGCTTGTACCCAGCCAAAACTTCCCTGCTGCTCGGAGATCGAATAGAGATACATAAACTGCTCAAATGTCGGTTCTCCCAATCCAACCAACCACCAAGCTATATACACCCCATGAAGAAGAAGCCAAAAGGAAGCCAAAAGTTGAGATTATACTGGCCCGGCGCATACCCTAGCTTGGCCAACATCATCTGCACCCAAGGATGCAACGGTAGTATGAAGCCATGCTGATTATCTGCACCCCAGTCATCACTGAACCCTCCGGATGGTATCTGACCACATCAGCTGCAGTGGGTAATCTCAAGCCCACATAATTGGGAACACTATAATTTGTCCGAAGCTCAACCAACTTTACTTCTGTAAGAATATTCCGCCTAACCAAAGGGAAACCAACCCGGATGTCCACCCCCTCTGAAGCTGAAGCTACGGCTATACCCACAGACCCTGATGGTGATGCCTGATTGCTCGAGCCCACCTTTGGTGAACGAGGCATAGCTAGAACCCAATCTGCTATGACCTCTAACACTTTATAATTCCTCTGCATCTCCTTATATGCCTCTGACCCAGAGTTTACCGGTGGCTCACTCCTCTCACTCTCATGAACTACCATCCTAGCTTCTACAAGACCTTCTACCAAACCCTCTATCTGGGAACTCTCATCTTCAGAACAAACATATTCACTAGCCTCTTCACTCGCAATATCATCCTCACCAAAGGAGGGGGGTCATGACTTTCTTTATCAGAACTCTCAGATATCTACAACATGCAGAAACAAGAAAAAGAAACTAATACACATGCAAGGAGGATTCAAACACAAGAACACAAAAATGGATGGCATCTACGTACTCTTTGATCTAAAGGCATACATTCAACAAGTTCATCCCAATGTTCAAGGTGTTCATCATGTTCATACTCATATTCAAGGTGTTCATCCTAATCTTCAACATGTTCATACCAAAAACAGAATTTCAATTCATAAGTTCAAGGGAAATGAGGTCTAACCTTGTTTACACCACCACGAAAAGTCGTCGGATATCACCTTGACCACGAGCACCATCACCAAAATCTAGCCAAAAATCTCTTTTCTCCTTCTCACTTTCTGGCAATTTTTTCTCAAAACTCAGGTATGATCACCTTCATAACCCTAAGCTCCTATTTATAAAGTCCCAAGGGTACACAAGAAACCTTAGCACCCTTTCACCTTCCCTCCCAAATCCCTTGTACCTGCAAGAATTTGAAATTCAAATTTCATATTTTCAAAAAAAAAAAAAAAAAAAAAAAAAAAACAAAAAGAAAATGAAAATTGAATGGACCTTGCCAAACGGCAAATGGGGGCTCACAAAATCCGTTCTCACCAAGGGTCCAGCAACCTCCGGATCCAAGAAGACCTAGGCCTAGGCCAACTCCAGCCCTTGTAGAAATCAAAGGCCTGGCTCCAAGTTTCAAAGGGCCCAACCCCCAGGTCCTGCACCAAGGACACTTACAAACTCGGGCCTGGCCCCCAAATCCCTCTTTCAGCCTCTCCAAGGTATGACAACAAGCCCAGCCCCAAAGACCAATTTTCACAACAACTCCACCAAATCA